GCGCGGGCGCGGCTGCCCGGACGCGGCTCGCTGGGCCCCCCGGGGGCGCGGTCGGCTCGGTGCCCGCGCGGGGTGACGGCGCACTTTTCCGAGGACGGGGTCACGGACGCCAGAGACTCGCAAGGGTCAGCGATTCAGAGGTGAAAATTAAAACTCACTCTAACGCTAGCCTTGTGAAAATTAGACACATGACATCGAGGTTAAGGCCCCAGTTTTCGACCAGATCCCTCTGTGGAAGGTTTAAGGACCATGACCAAGGTCAGGGAAAATGTTGCACATGATAAACTATAATACAGCTGTGGTTTAAATTACAATAAAACTATGGCATTATAATAAAACTACGGTACCATTGCACACGGTAACTTAATCTTCCAACGAGATTTGCCAACATGTTTGATAATCAGCTCTTCAATTAAAATGTTTCGCCCACAAGAATTCTACTTTTCTTGCAGTGCTTTTCTACTTTAAATGTAAAACATTCACCCATTTTCAACAATAATTCAAGTGAGTTCCACAATATGTCTGTAGTCTCTAAAATGACTTCTTTCTAGTGTAGAAAGTATTACTCTAATATCTTCCTTTGAAGAGTCATTCATTTAAATACTCATGAAATCTTGGTATAAAATGATGGAACTAGTTAAATCACCACTTAGCATACACAATAACTGTTGTATAAAAAAGCAGGAATGCTAAAATTATTGTGCATACGATGAGGATATTTGCCCTTGATGATTAAATATAAAAAAGAAAAACAATTTTTCACTGAACATACTGGGCAAACACCATTTTATCCCAAGGTGGTCGAAGATATTGCCATTAATGTGTGACCCTGAGTGTCTCCTGATGCAATGCCCTGAGAGGGCACAACCTCATTTCCATGATATTCTTGCACAACTTCCGTAATATGAATCCAATGAAAGAATGCTAGGCAAACTCAAATAGAAAGACATTCCATAAGATAATTGGCTAGTGCTCTTCCAACAATATCAGGGTCATGAAAAAAAAAAAAAAGACTGTCGCAGATTTGGAAAAACTAAACACACTAACTACATGTTGCTAGGTTCTAGATTAAATCCATGACCAGAAAAAAGCACATTGGTTAAGTGCAAACGTGTACTTAGTAAATCAGTTACGACAATAGCCCTGCCTGTGATGCCTTCCTAGTTACTGTGGTCACCACTGTGGTACAAAATGTTAGCATTTGGAGAAGCTGGAGGAAGGCATAGTGGCATTCTTTGTGCTATTTTTTTCCTGCGCATAATCAAAACGAAAAACAAATATTGTGTGGGCATTATAATAAAACTATGGTACCATTGTTCAGGGGAAATGGACATGCTGTAAACATCTTAATTTTTATTGTTTATGAACACTGCCTAATTTGTGTGCCTGTAATTACTTTCAAAATGCACCCTCTTTGAGTAGGGTTTTACAGGGGGTGGATGCGTGATAACACGGCTCCAGGAAAGCCTGGGGGTAAGGAGGAAGCGGGTGACGGTGACCGAGAAGACGTGGCGCTGTCAGAAGGGGACAGAAAGTGTGGGAACGTTTTTCTCGACTCTCAGCTGTGTCATCAGCTGGGGAGGCTGAGGCAGGAAGACCGTCAGCGGCTGCAGGCCAGCCTGGGAGCACAGCGAGACCCTGACTCAAAAACGAAAGATCCTTTTTGTCATTAGAGTCCGAGCGAGCGGGTCCCTGCCGCTGGGGAGCAAGAGGGAATCTAGGCTTCCCGAAGGCACATTTTCCCCCCATTACTGGCCACCACCACACTGTGGTTCCAAGGGACAGCGTTACACCTCTCAGCCAAGCGCGAGGCGCCGAGCAGACGCCCTCCCTCCCCACCCGCGCCGCCAGCCGCCCTCGGGCGCCTTCCCCACGCCGGTGCCCGCGTGCGCTGTCCTTTCGCTGCGCTCAACCGTTCTCCTGGAAAATGCAAACCAGTCGCTCCGCTCGCCACCCCCTCGAGCGACAGCGACCGACCCCCGCGCCCCGCGTCCCGCGCCCGCCGGCGCCCTCGCTCTTCCCGCCGCCCGCCAGGCCCGTCGCG